ATGAGCCATTGTCCAAGGCTGCCCCTGCATCCTTCCAGTTCGACCCATCCTTGGCCGCTTCCGCTGGCCGCGCCCCGCTCGCAGCGTCGGCATGGCCCTCCAAGGCCCTTGCATCCTTATCGTGCGTCCTTTTTACACGGGCTGACTCTATCCCCCATACATCAACTGATTCTCGGTGTGGGGACGTCTCGCTTCCCATGGCAAAACCACCGGAACCCAAAAAACCAAGGGCACCCTGGAGACAAGCAGGATGTTTCTTTGGACGCCCGAAATGGGTACGGAAAAATGGGTACAATGTCCATCAACAAATGGTGCCCCAAACCAACAGCGGCCGCTGTAGGGCAGGCGGCCTTCTGTCTCAAACGGAAACAGGCCGCGGCGGCGCGAACAGCGAGTCCTGTTCAAAATGAGCAAGAACTGCTGTTGGGCATTGTGCCACTTCTCTCCGTGACCGTGTCGTTCGTGCCGAGTCTCTCGACATGGGCTTCCACTATAGCCCACGACCCCTTCCCTCCGTGGACCCCTCCCCGGCCCCGCCTCCTTCGTCAGCTCGGCCTGCACGTCCTGCAGCATGCGCACGATCTTGGCCACAGGCCGGCCGCCCAGCTGGTCGGCGGCGTCGGAGCGCAGCCGGGAGGCCTGCGGCCAAGCGGGCCTCCCCTCCTCTCCCCCTCCCCTCCCCTCCTCTCCCCCTCCCCTCATCTCCTCTCCCCCTCCCCTCCTCTCCTCTTCTCCTCTCCTCCTCTCCTCCTCTCCCCCTCCCTCCCTCTCCCCCTCCCCTCCTCTCCTCTTCCCCTCCCCACTCTGCAAGAGGAAGCGGGGGGGTGGGGAAGCGAGCGAGCGGGCCACCAATGTGGAGCATACTCGAGGTCTGTCTAAGGCTGGGCTGGGCGGGCGAGCAATGCCCTTTGTGCATGTATATACACATATATAAACATTCTGTATATATGTATAGAATACAGATATACTCATACATACAGACATACACGCATGGTGATATATAAACACATATACATAAACACATGTGCATATGTATGTGTATCCATAGTTAGAGATAAAGCATACGTGCATACATATGTGCACACACATATATGTGTATATGCATGTATGTAAATATACATACATACATACATTCATACATACATACATACATACATACATACATACATACGTACGTACGTACGTACGTACATACATACGTACATACGTACATACGTACATACGTACATACGTACATACGTACATACGTACATACATACGTACATACATACATACAGACATACATACATACATACATGTGTACATACATACACACTAGAGACATCGCGCGCTCTTGGCACGCGCTCAGGTTCCAGGGCAGGCCGAGGGGGTGTTGGAAGAGCGTGGACAGCGCTATCATGCACAGGCGTGTGCCATAGTCGTACCAATCCTGACCCTCATCCTCATTCCCATCCTCACATTCATACTCCTCCTCATCTTCCGACTCGTCGTCATCGTAATACTCATCATGATCCTGATCAATCTCATCATCACCGCTACCATTGGGAACATCCTTGGCGCAGTGCTGTTAGCAGTGCCGTCACGTCGAACGCGCATACCCTCATCATCAGCATCAGCATCAGCATCAGCATCAGCATGAGCAGTCATCATCATCATTATCATCATCATCATCATCAGCAGCAGCATCATCATCATCGTCATCATCACGATCATCATCATCATCATCATCATCATCATCATCATCATCATCATCATCATCATAATCACCATCATCATCATCATCAACATCGCCATCACCATCACCATCACAACCACCATCATCATCATCATCATCATCATCATCATCATCATCATCGTCAGCGGCATCAGCATCACCACCACCATATTCATCATCAGCATCATCACGATCATCATCGCCATCATCACCAACACCAGCACCAACACCAACACCACCGACATCATCATCAGCAGTAGCATCCTCATCATCAGCATCATCGTCGTCATCGACATCGCAATCATAATCAGCGTCATCAACATCACCATCAGCATCATCATCAGTATCATCATACGCCACTGCATCACCATCATATGCACCAGCATCACCATTCATTATCACCAGCAGCATCATCATCAACAGCATCAGCATCATCGTCACCACCATCACCATCACCATCATCATCATCACCATCATCAGCATCATCATATTATCCACCATCACCATCAACATCATCATCAGCATCACCATCATCCTTATCAGCATCCTCATTCGAATCATCATCTTCATGTCACCCCCAGCACCACCATCATCAACACCGCTGCGCTAATCGTGCACATCGTCACTGGAATCGTCTTACCCATCATCCTCATAATCACCAGAATGATCATCAGCATCGTCATCGTCGTCGTCGGCCCAAAATTCCCGGAGAGGCCTTCAGGAGCATCAAGCCGACTGCACGCCTCTGGGAGCCTCTTGGAGGCGTTTGGGGGAGGGGCGGGCTCCTGGAATGAATCTGAAGGTTCTCTCCGGGTCCGCTTCTGTGCTTCTGTCGTTTCGTAAGCCCCTTTGGCAGTCTGGAGTCCGGTTGCATGAGAGGCCAGCCCATCAAGAGCGAAAAAGGGAGTTCTTCAGAACCAGTACTTTCCCATTGGTTATAGAGCGGCGTGGACGCCCAGTTGGACACTAGGAAGCTTCTTGGGGACATCTTGGGAGGCTCCCAATACCACCCAAAAACGGCCCAAGAGGCTCCCAAGAGGGCCCCAAGACGGCCCAAGAAGCGCCCAAGACGGACCAAGAGGCGCCCAAGACGGCCCAAGAGGCGCCCCAAAACGGCCCAAAAGGGGCCCAAGAGAGGATACACGAACTGAAAATCCGAGCCTTCCGCTCCAAGGGACCCCCAAGAGGACCGACCCCAGGACGCGCCCAGGAGGCCCAGGAGGCCCCCTAGAGGCCCCCAATAAGCTCCCAAGAGGCCCCCAAGAGGCCACAAGAGGCCCCCAAGAGGCCCCAAAGAGGCCCCTCGAAACGGCCCCAAAGAGGCATCCAAACAGCCTCCAAGAGGCCCCCGAGAGGCCTCCCACGAGACCCAACGAACGTCCAATAGGGTTCATACTCACAACCCAGGCACGGTGGCAGGATGGGCCGAAGGCCATGAGATCCGCCGCCCCCTGCTTGCAGGGGTGCACGGCGTGCTGGATGATTCAGTTTTGGTTTTGGTTCTTTTTCTAAAAGAACTCCCCAGTGGGCTTCGGCCCGTCCCGCCGGCCACCCGTAAATTTCCCAAAATGCGTCTGTCAATGCCTTTGTTGCCCCAACTTGGCCCAAGATGGCCTCCAAGACGGCCAAGATGGCCCAAGATGGCCTCCAAGATGCCTCCAAGACGGCCACGATGGCCTCCAAGACGGGTAAGATGGCTCCAAGATGCCTCCAAGACGGCCCAAGATGCCCTCCAAGACGGCCAAGATGGCCCCAAGATGCCTCCAAGATGGCCCAAGAGGCCTCCAAGACGTTCTCCAGGAGAGCCCGAAGAGGCCAAAATCATTGGTTGTCCTTAGGTTTTTGAAGGTTTTTTGCGTTTTCTTCTTTTCGGCCTTCCGACGGCCCAAGAGGCCCCCAAGATCGCCCAAGAGGCCTCCAAGAAGGCCCTATGACGGCCCAAGGGCCCCCCAAGACGGCCCCAAGAGCGCCCCAAGACGGCCCAAGAGGCCTCCAAGACGCCCAACATGGCCTCCAAGACGGCCCTGAAGCGCCCCAAGAGGGCCCCAAGACGGCCCAGAGAGGCCCCCAAGACGGCTCCAGACGGCGTCAGACGGACCAGGAACGCCCTAAGACGGCCAAAGAGACCCCCAGGAAGCCCCCAAAGGCCCCCAAGAGGCCCAAGGAGGCCCCCAAGATGCCTCCAAGAGGCCTCGAAGAGGCCCCCAAGAAGCCCCCAACAGACCCCAAGGGTGCCCCAAGAGACTCCTAACAACCCTCATCCTCCTACTCTATTTCTTCCTCTTCCTCTTCCTGTTCATAATCATTCTCTCCCATGTGTTCCCCGAAAGCTTTCCAAACCGACTCGGGGAACTCATGGTCCGATAGCTTGGCCAAGCTCTAGTCCAACTTTCGGCCACATCGGCGTTTCCAAAAAGGCAGGGGGCGGCGGTGATTCGCCGTAGGCGTCTTCGATCTGCCGCCCCCTGTTGATTTATCACAGGGGTGCCTGGCGTGCTAGATCCTGTACGACGTGGCCTTGGTCCTCTGTCCGCCAAGATGGCCTCCAAGGCAGCCAAGATGGCCTCCAAGCTCTCCCAAGATGGTCCAAGATGGCCTCCAGGACCGCCCAAGAGGGTCCAAAATGCCTTCAAGTCCGCCCAAGAAGCCACCAAGACGGCCCAAGTTGGCCCCAGAGGCCTCCAGGAGGCAGTCAATATGGCTCAAGAGGCCTCCAAGAGGTCATCCAGGAGGGCTGGAAGAGGCAAACATCATACATGGTCCGTATGCGTTTGAAGGATGTGGGCAGTTGCGTCGTTTCGGCCTTCCAACGGCCCACGACGGCCCAAGAGCCCCCAACGATCTAGCTTCTCATCGATCTTCAACCCCCGATTGCCCCAATCCAAGACGCGCAAGATGGCCTCCAAGACGGCCCTGAAGCGCCCCAAGAGGGCCCCAAGTCGGTTCAGAAAGGCATCCACGTCGGCTTATGACAGCGTCAGGCGGGCCAGGAACGCCCTAATATGGCCCAAGAGACCCTCAAGAAGCATCCAAACGCCCCCAAGAGGCCCAAGGAGGCTTCCAAATGGCATCCAAAAGGCCTCCAAAGGGACTCCAAAAGGCCCGCAGGAAGCTCCCAGGAGGCGCAGCAAGCTCACAGGAGGCCCTTAGCGTCCTCCTCCTACCCCTCCTCCTCATCCTCCTCCTCCTCAGCCTCCTCCTCCGCCTCCTCCTCCTCCGCCTACTCCTCATCCTCCTCCTCTTCATCGTCCTCATCCTCCTCGCAAATGTCGTTTCTTATTTCTCCCCCGCGTGTTCCCTGATGGATTTCCACAACGGCTGGGGGGGGAAACACATGGTCCGATGGCTTGGCAGAGCTCTGGCCACGACGCTCTGCCACATGGGCGATTCTAAAGGCAGGGGGCGGCGGTGATTCGCCGTAGGCGTCTTCGATATTGTTGCGTGTGGAAAGCATGAGGGTGTGGGGAGGATGTGGAGGGGAGGGGGGTGAAAGGGATGGAGGGAATGAAGACGGAGGGGGAAGGGGCAGGCTCGCCGAACTCAGGCCAGCATGCACCCTGGGCAAGGCCCCGCGGACGTTCAGTGACGGAGAGGCGTGTGTGTGTGTGTGTGTGTGCGTGTGGTGTGTTGTGTTGTCTGTTGTGTGCTGTGTGTTGTGTGGTGTGTGGTGTGTACGTGCATGTGCGTGTAGATGTGCATATGTATTGGCATATGGATGTGTATGTGTATGTGTATGTGCATGCGCGCGTGTGCGCGTGTGTAAGCGTGTGCGCGTGTGCGCGTGTGTGCGTATGTCCGCATGTGCGTGTGGGCGTGTGTGCGTGTGGGCGTGTGCGTGTGTGCGCGTGTGCGCGTGCGCGTGTGTACGCGTGTGCGTGTGTGTGTGTGTGTGTGTGTGTGTGCGTGCGTGCGTGTGTGCGTGTGTGCGTCTGCGCGAGTGCGCGTGTGTGTGCGTGTGCGCGTGTGTGCGTGTGTGCGTGCGTGCGTGTGTGCGTGTGTGGTGTCTCCGTTTGACTAGCCCATCCGCCAGCACAGTCACTCTGTCTAGCCGCCGACGCCAAAAAGGCCTGTGCGCGTGTGTGTGTATGTTTGTGTGTGTGCGTGCGCGCGTGTGTGCGTGTATGTGTGTGCGCGTGTATGCGTGTATGTGTGTGTGTGTCTGCGTGCGTGCGTGCGCCCGTGCGCGTGTGCGCGCGTGCGTGTGTGTACCCGTGTGCGCGTGTGCGCGTGTGCGCGTGTGCGCGTGTGCGCGCGTGTGTGCGCGTGTGTGCGCGTGTGCGCTTATGTGCGCGTGTGTGCGTGTGTGGGCGCGTGTGTGCGCGTGTGGGTGCGTGTGCGTGTGCGTGTGCGCGTGTGTGTGCGTGTGCGCGTGTGTGCGTGCGTGCGAGCGTGCGCGTGTGTGCGTGTGTGCGTGTGTGCGGGTGTGCGGGTGTGCGTGTGTGCATGTGTGCGTGTATGCCTGTGCGTGTGTGCGTGCGTGCGTGCGTGCGTGTGTGCGAGTGTGCGTGGGTGTGTGGGTGCGTGTGCGCGTGCGTGCGTGTGTGCGTGTGTGCGTGTGTGCGTGTGCGCGTGCGTGGCGTGTGCGCGTGTGTGGTTGCGTTCGTTTGCGTGTGCGTGTGCGTGTGTGCGTGTGCGTTTGCGTGTGCGTGTGCGTGTGCGTGTACGTGTGCGTGTGCATGTGCGTTTGCGTGTGCGTGCGCGTGTGCGGGTGCGCGTGTGCGGGTGCGCGTGTGCGTGTGCGTGTGCGTGTGCATGTGCGTGTGTGCGTGCGTGTGTGAGTGCGTGTGTGCGTGTGCGTGTGTGAGGTAGTGCTCGCGCGTGCGTGTGCGTGTGCGCGTGTGCGTGTGCTCATGTGCGTGTGCGTGCGCGTGTGCACGTGTGCGTGTGCGTGTGCGTGTGCGTGTGCACGTGTGCGTATGCGTGTGCGTGTATGCGTGTGCGTGTGCGTGTGCGTGCATGCGTGCATGCGTGCGTGTGTGCGTGTGCGCGTGTGCGTGTGCGTGTGCGTGTGCGTTTGCGTTTGCGTGTGCGTGTGCGTGTGCGCGTGTGCGTGTGCGTGTAAGCGCGCGTGCGCGTGGGAGTGCGCGTGGGCGTCCCCGTGCGCGTGTGCGTGTGCGTGTGCGTGTTGGTGTGTGTGTGGGTGTGCGTGTGCGTGTGCGTGTGCGTGTGCGTGTGTGTGTGTGTGTGTGTGTGTGTGTGTGTGCGGGTGTGTGTGTGTGTGCACCCGTTTAGCTCTCGCGCTGGTGCAGCCAACTCTGCCTCGCCGCCGACGGGAAAAGTGTGTGTGTGTGTCCATGCGTGCATGTGTGCGTGTGTGCGTGTCTGCGTGTGTGTGTGTGGGTGGATGTGTGTGGGTGTGTGTGTGTGCGGGTGTGTGGGTGTGCGGGATAGTGTTGGTGTGCGTGTGTTGTGCGTGCTGTGTGCGTGCAGGTGTGTGGGTGTGTGTGTGTGGTGTGTGTGGTGCGTGTGTGTCTGTGCGTGTGTGTGTGTGTGTGTTTGTGTGGGCGACTTCCCAATGACGCAACGCAACTCACCGAGGTAACATTACCCGCTCATCCTTGAAAGAGCCTTGCCTATGCATAATCTGCATTATCCTGGAGCGTGAGCGGAACCGTCCCTCCCTCACAGTCTCTGACTAGTGTACGGGTGCAGGAGGAGGACTTTGCGAGCACCCCCTCCCAGAACGGTGGCAGTTTCTCTTCGAGGAGAAGAATGATGCTGTGGACCACTGCAAGACAAGCCACCGAAGCGACTGCAGAGCAGGAACATTACCACGCAAACCACCC